GAAGTAAATTCTATTTTAATGAATTATCAATGGTTTTGTTATTCCCAGGGCCACCAAGAGTATATTGATTTATATAGTCTACGGGAAAAAGGTCCTTGGAGTTTAATCAAGGGACACCTAAGTGCAGTGGAAATTTGCAAGGTAGAAGACCTTGATTATGCCATAGTTCCTGGTTCGGGGGATAGCTGCTGTAAAATCACACTTAGATTTGTAGATCCTTCATCTGTTGCTTTTGGCAAAGCATTCAAGCTGACCCTGCCTGAACTGATTGATTTTCCTGATTTTGTTGTTGAAAAAACACGATATGATGCTTCCATCAATAGAGATTGGACTACCAGGGATAGATGTGAGGTGTGGTGGAGGAATGAGAATGGGGAAGGTGGTGAATGGTGGGAAGGGGATATTGTTTCTGTGCAGGCAAAATCTGTTGACTTTCCAGATAGTCCTTGGGAGAGATATGAAGTTATATACACGTCTGATCCAACTTTACACAAACACAGTCCATGGGAATTGCACGATCTTGGCATTCCATGGGAGCACCCCCATATAGATTTTGATGTAACAAATAGAGTACTATCTTTGTTCAATAAATTAGAGCTATCAGCAAAGAAAACTCAGGTAGAGAAGTTTTCATCTGAAAATCCGTTCTATCTGAATTTTTGAACATGGACAGTGTTTTCTCATGGTTTTGATAGTTCTACTCTAAATCTTGCAGGATTCTTACGGAATTCAAAAATTGAATGAGGTTTCTCATAAGTGGGATTTCTTTAACAGGTATATGTTATAAAGCTTCCTCTTTGTTTTGTTATCTGTCATCGCTCTGGCCTAGGAGGGTCATTACTCTATTTATTTTGCAAACAATTTTTTTTTTCTCCTGTCATGATGTACTACTAAAAAGAAACCAGCTTGTATTCAGAGTTGTTGAAAAAGGTTCAAATGTAATTAGATATTAGTTTGTGGAAATGTCGCTTCCCGCTATCTTCTGGTAACTACTCGATCAGCCTCTGGAAACAACAGATTATGAAGTTAGTGTATGCTTCCATGTTCAACGATATAACTTAAAGATTGTAATCAACCTTACAATTGATGAGTTGTGCAAATGCAGTGCTACGTCCCTTTAGAAAGGATATGCAGTTTATGCGGGCATCTATAGATAATGTAGTGCTGTATTCACTTGTCGATACAATTTGCTATTTAGAGCTGCATTTGCTGGTGTGGATGTAGAAATTCTTCAACTGATCTTTGGTTTTGTGGGAGTTTTGCAGATTTTCAGTACCTCTGTGTCCTGAAATTATCAGGTCGAGGTTAGAAAGCAACTATTATCGGAGCTTGGAAGCCGTGAAGCATGACATACAGGTGATGATGAAAAATGCCCAAGATTTTTTTGAGTTAAGCGCTGAGCTATCACACAAAATGAAGCGCCTCTCTGAATGGTTTACAAGGAAATTATCAAAGATGTAGAAAGTCCAATAATTTTTCCCTTTGTTTTTATAGTTTTTTAAGCTTTCCCTCCTCATCTGTCCAATTTTTGTAAAATGAATCCTACAAACTTTAGGATGCTAGAATGCCCAATGAAAATAGCTGTTGCAATCATTTTTTTGACAGAATGGGAGGGGAAATGGATACGGTGAGAGTTTCCCATAATGTACAGGTCACTATAGCTTCCATGGCATTGCATTTCATAAAAAAAAAGAAAAAAAAAAAAAAAAAAAAAAGAAATGAAAATGATATGTAGTCGGATTCTTGGATGACCTCTCAGCGAGTTAACTGGGTCGATTCTGAGCGAGTGGCTGGGTTCAATACTGAATTTGTGTGTGAACAAACCTGAATGGACTTTTTTATCTGGCGCGTGATCAAAGTCATAGAAGAATGTGGTTTAAATATTGTCTGCTAAAAATTTGAATTTTAAGTTTTTACTAATAATGTGTTTCCATTAGATTCCATCTTATTCTCACATGACCATAAGAATGACACGTGACATGATTGTCAAACACCCACAAACCAATTTAGTGCTTGCACTTTTCTTTTTAGTGTCGTATTGCCTTTCTCTTTTTATATTTAAATGTCTAAACTTTCAAAATTTACAAATCGAGTGTTTTTCTAATTCATTAGTCAGTAGTTGATGTTTCCATCAATTGACATCTTTATACGGGATAAAAATTTGAAAATAAAATAAAATAAAATAGTTGTGGATTTTCTTGATGTATCTAAAAAAAAAATAGTTGTGGATTTTCTTGATGTATCTTGCTGTGGATTTGTATTTAAAACTGTTTGAAGTTTTTTAAATAATTAAGTTTTTAACATATTTAATCATGGAAAAAGTTGAGGAAGTTGAATGTGTCTAAAATCTTTTTTTTTAAAGGCATGTAATTTTTTTAATTTGAGTAATATATATATATATATATTATTTTGTTGTTTAAAATTTTTATTTTTATTTTTTTGGTCGAATATGACCTATATAAAGGTAAGATGCGAAGTGGATATTAAGAGAATTTATTTAGAATTGTGTTAAAGTGGACAAGATAATATGTCATCTAAAACGATATAGCATCTATTATTATAGTTGATGAGTTTTTGTTCTATTTGACTATAATCAACTTTCATGCTCTTATTTTTTCGAGTCTTGTGAAAATTATAAAGATAGCATTCAATATTATAAATATTAATCAAATTATTTTTTATATAAAAAAGAAAAAAAAACATTTTGCACATAATAGTTTGTTTCCTGTTACAATTACCTGTTCTGATTTGAAAAACTATCATGTACACCCCGGTTAAACATAAAATTTTAAATTTAATAAAATAATTAAATTTTCCTTGTACATATTATTTAGTCTCTTCCTTCTTACCTCCTCTCTCTCTCTCTCTCGCTCCATCTCTCTGGCTCCATCTTTTCTCTCTTTCTGGACATTGACATCATTTGGAAATGTTAAAAAACTCTGTTTTTAAAAAAAATTATTTTTTTATATATATTTTAGATTATTATGATACATTAATTTTAAAAATATTTTTTAAAAAAATAAAAAAATATTTTTAATATATTTTAATATAAAAATTATTTTAGAAAACAATCACCATTATATTTTCAAACAATCTTTTAACTACTGCTGCTTGGAGAATCAAAGCCCTTGGAAGATTCTGATAGATGCCTTGAAAGGACAACCATGGAGAACATGAACATGGCTTTACTATTGCTGTTTGGAGAATCAAAGCCCTTGGAAGATTCTGATAGATGCCGTGAAAGGACAACCATGGAGAACATGAACATAGCTATCCCTGCACTCTTGTGCTCTCATCGGTCTAAATCCATTACTTTTATTGCATTGGTACATGCAGTCTGGCAGGATCATGATGAAGAAATACAGAGCTGTTTTCAAGAAAACAAGCGCATGCTTTCCTTTCTCAGAAATTTGGAGCAAGCCCTGACAACATGAATTACACATGCAACCTCTTAGGTACTCTATGAAGTTCCTGGGTGGCTAGATTTGATTTTATAGCATTTGTATTTATGAGAATTATGGAAGTGGTGTCGATTTTATATTGCACATTGATTTTGTTTTTTTTTTTTTTTTGCCAAGTTGTAATATTAATTTGATAACAAAGTTATAATATTAATATTAATAATATTATCATTGTTTTTACGTTTCAAGGGCTTTTTAGTTATTAAATAAAAAGTAATGATAGCAAGGGTGATTTTTCCAAAAACAAATATGGCTTTTACTAAAAGTATAAATATTTAAATAAAAAACAAAAATAAAAACAATTAACTAGAAACAAACTAAAATGTCCATGAACACTTGGAAAACATGTCATCATGCCATGTGTATCTAGCGTTTATGTTAGTTTGAAGAACCCGTTTAGCAACAAGGTTGCGTCTGCGTTTTATTTAAAACACAAAGGTAACTTGTTTGGTAAAAAAAAACACATTTTACTGTGTATGGTTCCATGTTTTTTCGCGTTCGAGACGCAGAAAAAAAAGAAGCAGCATTTTGCTGCTTTGCGCACACTATTCAGTGAACAGTGCAATAGATTTGCATTGTTCACTTGAAAAATAACGAACAGTGCAATTCTTTTGCACTTTTCATGATTGAATTGCACTGTTCGCGTGAACAGTGCAATTCACACACTTTTTTTAAAAAACTAGTTTAAAGTAAATTAAATTTATTTGCACCGTGATGTGAATAATATTTTTTTTCCTGAAAAATTAATATATAGTGAATTAAATTCACTCGCACTATAATATCAATTTTATACCTGATAATATTTTATCTAATTTTATTACATGCTCAAAATATTATGAAAATTGTAGTTTTATCGGATAAATTTTGTACATAATAGAATTATAAATAGTTTAATGGAATAATAAAAAATTTTTTTTCTTTTGTTTTTTTTTTTTTTTTTGCCAAGTTGTAATATTAATTTGATAACAAAGTTATAATATTAATATTGATAATATTATCATTATTTTTACGTTTTAAGGGCTTTTTAGTTATTAAATAAAAAATAATGATAACAAGGGTGATTTTTCCTAAAAAAAAATATGGCTTTTACTAAAAGTATAAATATTTTAATAAAAAACAAAAATTCAATCTTAATTAAAAATATTTTTTATAAAACAACTTTTTTCAAACCATAACTATAACAGCTACCGCAATACCAAAGACATTCGAAGTAGACGGAACTCAATTATAAAATATTCTTGAAGTAGACGGAACTCAATTATAAAATATTTGAAAGTTAATAAACTCGAATAGAAAAAATAAAAGTAGAGATACTTAATTATAAAAAAATAAAAATTCATAAACTGAAAATGTTATCAAGCCAACTAATTTATCTTCCTTTTCCTTCGTTTCCTTGGTAGAACCTCTCTTTTCCTCACAAAATCTTTCTACCTTACTCTAGGGACGAAACTGACATACTTACATAAGTTGAGGGGCTGAACTTGTCCCCCCACCACCCAAAAAACAATAATAATAAAAAAGGCGTTGCCTTTATAGCCACCGAGAAATAATTATCAAGCGTCAAACCCTAAAGCCCGGTATTGCATTCCCGACTCCTTCCCTTTCTATAGTGTAGCGTATCTCTGCTACCACCAGCAGCCGCAGCAGCAATGGCAGGCGGTAAGATAAGAAAAGAGAAGCCATCATCACGGGGGGCACCTTCCTCAAATCACTACCAAGGAGGCATATCCTTCCACAAATCCAAAGGACAACACATCCTCAAGAACCCTCTACTTGTTGACTCCATAGTCCAAAAGTCAGGCATCAAGAGCACCGACGTTGTTCTTGAGATTGGTCCTGGGACTGGAAATCTCACCAAGAAACTTCTCGAAGTTGGCAAAATGGTTGTTGCTATTGAGCTCGACCCTCGCATGGTTCTTGAGCTTCAACGCCGCTTTCAAGGCACCCCCTTCTCTAATCGCTTAAAGGTATCTTTATCATTGTTAGTTTGGCAAGTTTTTTATCTTTTACGAAAAACTAATCACTCGACATTCACAGGTGATCCAGGGTGATGTGCTTAAGACAGACCTTCCTTATTTTGATATATGTGTGGCAAATATCCCTTATCAGATATCCTCACCCCTCACATTCAAATTACTGAATCATCAACCTTTCTTCAGGTGTGCCATCATTATGTTTCAGAGAGAATTTGCTATGAGACTTGTTGCTCAGCCAGGTGATACCTTATACTGTCGTCTTTCTGTTAATACCCAACTCTATGCTAGAGTCTCCCATCTTCTCAAAGTTGGGAAGAACAATTTCAGGCCTCCACCCAAGGTGGATTCCTCTGTTGTTCGAATTGAGCCTAGGAAACCACGTCCCCAGGTGAATCCTAAGGAATGGGATGGGTTCATAAGGATTTGTTTCATTCGAAAGAACAAGACACTTGGTTCTATTTTTAGGATAAAAAATGTCCTGTCCATGCTTGAAAAGAACTACAAGACTCTTCAGGCGCTGCAGCAATTGCAAGATGGTTCCTCGGGGAGTACTAATGCTGAGATGGACATTTTGGGACTGGGAGATTCTAAGGAGGATCACAGCATGGATATGGATGATGGAACGGATGAAGAAATGGAGGTGGAGGATGGTGATGCAGACGGTGAGGCCTCTGAATTCAAGCAAAAGGTTTTGGCTGGGGTGAAAGAGAGAGATTATTCTGAAAAGAGGGCATCCAAACTCTCGCAAGAGGAGTTCTTACACTTGCTCTCTCAGTTCAATATGGCTGGCATACACTTCTCCTGATTGGAGTTTCAGATGTTGCTCCTTTTCATTTGAAGTTTAACCCAATTTTGTTTGCTGTTTGCTTGGCTACAGAAAGGCTTATTTATGTTCTTTCCACTGGTTGAGTTTGAGCATTGATTTCAGGATGTAAATAGTCCTCTGTATTAGGAGGTCAATTTTTGTCTCACTTGCTATGTTCCCCTTATCTTTATATCCTCTTGTTGAAACACTCCTAATTAACAATTTCAAAAATTTCTTTCTTTTCCGAAGCTTTACTAGCACAAAATTTGCTGCACAGCTTTGAACTTGCGAATTATAGCATCTTATTATGTCAATACTTAATGTAGTATGCTATACTGTTTATTGTTGATGGCAAGGTTTTTATTCTGGAGACTAACTGAGAGAGCTCGGATTAGACTACTGTAGTGCTCAAAAGCAAAGCTTCGAAGGCTAGCAATCCTGCAATACAAGAAGCAACGCCAAGTGTCCCTGTAGAGTGTTAGTGAGTGTCGAGATTTATGTTTGCTTTGATAATTTGATATCCAGGCCCGTTACAATGGGGGTGATTACTTGTTTTGGAGGGTTCAGGTTCAGGACCTAGCATGTTACATCATGATGATGCCTTCCATTTCCAGGGAGATACGAACCTGACATGACAAATCCAAGAATCGTGGGAAAAAATGATAAGAGTGTAGCGAAGCACGCTGAATATGGCTTTTTCTCTCACATAGCTGTGTCTCTCTTAAAAAGAGCAACTCCATGGATGTTATGCTCTTTGAAATCTCAATGCAAACATTGTATCGAACTTTATTGCGTCAAATAAATTGCGTCATCTTTGAAATCTCTTATTTTAATAATGGTTTATGGAATCTCAAACCTCCAAGAAAAAGGTAGATCAAAATAATGGCACTAACAAGGAACTCGGACAGGCAGGACAACAGCAGAAACTAATGGTAGGAACACAGACAGACCACCTAATAATAGGACAACATTAGAAACTTGAAAGAAGTGATGTTCACAGAAAAAGTCCATAACAGGAATCACAAAGGCAGCGAAAGACCACCAGCATTATTAAAGGATCTCGAAAACAAAATCCCTTCAAAACGTAAATAAAAAGGATCTCGAAAACAAAATCCCTTCAAACATCCGCATTCGACCACTGGAATCACACTTGCATCTGCGGTGCTTACATTCTGAGAAACTCACCATACCTGGTGCACGTGACTTTCATCAAATGATTCATATGGGGCTTCTTTCGTGGAAATGTTAGAAGAAGCTTTCAGAGAAAGGCAGATGCTTTTAATTAATTTTATGATAATTTCCCAAAGGGAAGTTCCTTTCCCCGGGGCAAATCAGAGTCAATATTGTTAAGAGAAATCCCAGAAGTCTTGAGTGATGATAAGGGCGGGCAATGAGAATAACACCATTGGCTTAGTAACTCAAGAACGAAGAGTAAAAAATAACTACACTAGAATTGTAACTCCAAATCAAAGCATGGAGGCAAGGCTGGTGGAGGCCTGGAATAAAATCGTCAAAAACACTGGCATCTGATCACAACGGACATTAGAGTCAACAATCTCAGACGAAAGCACTCAATCAAACAAAGCATTGGCCCTTAATCATGCCAGAAAGCAGTGCGGATCAAGTGAAATGTTGTCAAGGCCATAACAAAACAGAGTAGACCAGCTGATGATCTCCGAGTTAAGCATCATGAAGCACCTCCAGAGGAAAAGCAACTAAACATGTCGCTAGTAAATATTTCAAACTCACGACTGAATATCTGAATGCTGCGTAAAGGACTCGATCCAAAATATCTCATCCAGGCAAGCCAGTGAGTGTACTTTGCAGAAGTAATCAAGCATAGTTCAGAAAATGAGGTCCTCTGTTTAACAGTAAAACTGATAATAATTAGACCACACAAAACCAATAACCAGCAGTTGCTACATGAGCATACTAGTCCAAATTTACCCCGCTGATTCCTTTGTAAGAACCACAGCAATAATTTATCAGATCCAATACTTGATCGTTATCAAGCAAACCAAGTAACGTCACAAATCAATCTTAGAGATCAATCGAAATTAATATCAAAACAAGAGGGTAACGGAATTTGCCTTCAACACCAAACACCCAACTCGAATTTCGAGGCACTTCTGGACCAAATTAGAACTGCTTAAAACAAGTTTTGTGGAAAAGTAATAGCCCCGGCCTGTCGGCATATGTCTTTGTTACGCTGTTCAGCCTGAGATTAAATTCCACAAAGTTTTCAGATCAACAAACTAATCGCAGTTAAAAGGTCAGACAAAAGAATAGCAGCTGGGGGTAAATTTTACCTCTGGTGAATCAAATGTCATAACGAGTGTGATAGAACCTTGGACTCCAATGCTAGCTGGCCGGCCCTAAAAATTTGTACTTCTATAACGTCATAGCAGTATGACCTTCCGCAACCAGTCATCTGAAACAATTCAATTAATTGCCTCAGAAATTTTAGATCATATGATTTATTAGTGATTATAGCTGTGGCCTCAATCTTGAAAACTAACTTCTGCAGCAAAATGGTACATGGTTCAGATGTTCAGGAGGATTTCACTAAACATTCACCCATACCCACGTCAGCCATGAATTTAACCCATGCAGCCTCTACTTTCTTTCAAAGTGACCCAGGAAATTCACTTAAATGATTTGTTTTACCTTTAATTAAATCAATGCAAACCTCAGCAACAACGCTAGAAAATGGCAGAGAAACACAATACTTTTATTCGCTACATGAAAGAAGAGATCTAATGCTTAATTGAAGAAAAATCACAGAGAAGGAAAGTTCAGTACCAATAAAAACTGGCCCAATTTATATTGCATTAAAGACAAGTCACATATCTCTTGAAAGTAACTAAAATAAGAATTAAAACAAGAAATGTGGGACGTAATGAATACAAAAATATACAACACAAACCAGCACCATTGGTAATGGGCAATCATTAAAAAAATATTCATCAGTAAAGAACAGGAAGAAAAGATTTTCAACAATCATCATCCATCTGCCATCTCATAAAGAGAGTACCGTTGGCCATGGGCAAGTTGAGTACATTTTCTATTACCAGGTTCTCTTCTCTTAACTCTCTTCTTCATCATCTCAGCCCACCTGGCAAACACATTAGAGACTTCGAACTTGCCAGAGAACTTCATTTTTTGAGCTAACTCCTCAAGTATATCAGGCTTCCCAGCTCGGGAGAAATCAGCCGCAAATTTGTTGTAGTCTAGTTGAGGAGCTTTCATTCCCTTTTCTATCATCTCCTCCAAATATTTGCATGCCTCTTCAGATCTACCCTGACTTATAAGCCCTCCAATGAAAACAGTATAGGAGTTATCATCAGGGCAAAAGCCTTTCTTACTCATTTCATCCCAAACGGCATGACCCATTTCATAGTTTCTTATTTGAAAGTAAGATTTCATTATCATATTGTAAGAGTGGATTGAAGGTTCAATTCCATTTTGAATCATCTTCTTGTATATCCTCACTGCATCATCTGGCATTCTCTGGCTGGTCATCAACTTGATAAGGGCATTATAAGTTTTCCCATCAGGTGGACAGCCCTTTTCTTTCATCTCCTTTAACAATTCATAAACCATGTCCATCCTCTTATGATTCCCATACCCTGTCATCAAACATGTGTAAACTGCAGCATCAGGATGACAACCGAAATCAACCATCTCATGAAAATATCCAACTGCCTCTTTCATCTTGGTTTGTTTGCACAGATCCCGGATCAAAATTGTATAGCTCCGAACATCAGGTGATGGGCCCTTGGATTTCATGACCTCAAAGAACTTGATTGCATCAGACCTCTTTTTACTCCTTAACAACCCTTCAAGCATAATATTATGGGTGACAACATCAGGCTTAAAACCCTCATCAAGCATCTCGTTCCAAATCCTCCCTGCCTCCATTAAATTCTTCACCCTGCACCATCCATTAAGCAATACAGTATATGTCCTCAAATTTGGCGTAAACCTACCTTCCAACTTCCCAAATAGTGCCTGAGCTTCTTTCCCAAGCTTGGCCCTCCCAAGACTATCAAGCAGAGCATTAATGGTCTCTACACCCACTCTATATTTGTGATTCTTCATTAACTCAAAAATACCAACAGCCTTTTTCCTCTCCTTTGCAGCAGCAAAAGCTCTCAGTGCAATGGAAAATGTGTCCAATGTCAATAGCCTTTTTTCACCCATCTCTTCAAGCATTGACATCATAGTCTCAAACTGTCTTGCCTTAGCAAGTATGATCATCATCGAATGGTAAGTCCTTGAATCATGGACAAAACCTGGCTTCTCCGCTGCCCAACAGAAGAAGCGGAAAGCCGGTTTTCTAGCATGACGGAATCTTTCCAACACCTCTATGACCAGGTCATGTGATAAATTGATCCCACATTCATCTAGAACTGCCTCCATGTTGTGGTCCAATGCAAACAACTCATCAATCACCTTGCATACCTTATGAACCTCAGCAGGATCTGCAGTTGATTTGACAATAGCACCTTTGTTTTCTCTTTCACAAGTATCACTCTCATCATTCTCCTCATTTTCAGCATCGGAATCTGTATCATCATTGCTGGAGCTAGAAAACCACCTAACACTTAGCTCTGAAACTTTTCCCAGTATAGTAAAACTGGGCAGTAAAGAAGTTTTGGATTTATTACTAGCTGTTGAGTTTAGAATTAGGGAGAGTTTTTCTTGTAAAATTGTTCTTGGTGCAGAGGGGTATGGCCAAACAAATGGGATTTGACCATGAGTATGACTAACTCTACGATCACAAGAAGAACAACACGAATGAGAGAAAGGCAGAGAGCTACAACCCGGGAGGCACACTTGCTCTCTGCTACATTGTCCTCCTCCTCCTCCTCGCCCTTGTCTCTGATAGAGGGGGATTAACTTTGTGTTAGAGTAGAGTTGGCCTTTGAAACTTGAATGCCAATTGGAGTGCAAGCAGCACCGTATCATTTTGTATTTACCAATTACCTGAAAAGGTTAACCAAGAACAAGTTTTATCACATAGTCTTAGCAACATAAAAACACAACCTTTCATAATTAGGCCAATCCCAGCTGACTTAGGGAGGAGTCGGACCTTGAAAAGCCAGCAAGGAGCTTCGAAAATACTATTTTTTTTAGCAGAAATATTGCTGGAACAAAGTATGAAGGGTGGCAGCTTTGATCAATGTTGAATATCTACAACTCAAAATTCATATATAAAGATACAACAAAATTTATGAAATCAATAACTCAAGTGAGAGGGTAAAAAAAAATCAATCTTCAGGTTTAGCAGCATCTTTTTTATAGCATTCATTCACTTGTCCATTATCTCAATCCGAACAATCAAACTTGCAAATTGCGTAAACGAATTCATAGCTCAAGGAAATATGGCAATAAAAAATAGTAAGTATTATATAAGCCCACAAAAAAAAAAAATCAATAGTGTTAAAGAAAGCCTAACCAAATAAATGAACGGTGTGCGGAGAAGTAGAGGGATATCGGACATAAATAAGTAAGTTGCAAAAACTTTTGGAAACCCACATAGGGATGGAGAAGGAGAAGACAACCCAAAAGCACTACAGAGTAACAACCAACCTGAAAGTAAAACAAGGAAAGCAAGGGTAATAAAATCAATGGTCAAGTCGGGCAATTAATTAATGAATAGGGGAAATTTCAAAATTCTTTTTAAATATGCTGGGGGCAGAACTGTAATTATGGTGCGGCAAGTAAGATGAAGAGGAGAGGAGGAAAGGGAAAAAACCCTTGTGTAATCTCAGCTGCCGCCTCCTGTTCTGTCTTCATTGCTTGTGCTAACTAGGAAGGTCAAGGTCAGTTCCTCCTCCTTCTGCTGACACTTCTTATTATTATGTTTGGGATTTAAGCCTTTTGTTTTGTGTTTAATACCACCCAGTAGAATGGCTTTCACTTTGATTTTTCTGCTGAGTTGAGTTTAAACTCCTCCTCCAACTCATCAACTGCTGAAAAAACCCTTCTAAGTATGTTTTTTTTCTGCACTGCTACTTTATCTAATTATTTTTTTTAAATCTTTGGTATTTATTACCTTACATGGATTAAACTATATTGCAAAACCCAGTGAATTTCTGATTTTTTTATTCCATTAACCAGTTTATTTTTTCTGTAATTGAACTACGTAAATATAACAATTTTGCTTGCTTTTCCGTAAAAAAAGAAGTGAAGTAACCCTTTACTTGAAGTCACTGCAGCAGTCGCCTGAATTGCTTATTTCCATGGTATACAGATCGATGACCTCTTGGGTCTGTATCATGTCTTTCTGTCAACGTTAAAAAACTGTTATCGTTCGTTTTTCTTAATGCATGATATGTTGATGACTTGAAATGCTTCGTGACCCATTTTTTCTAGGCTTAAATCATATTATGCGTTACTGCTACGATTTCTTCATTTAAGCATTGCTTGTACAATGAATTATATTAAAGGCCTTTATTCGATTCAAGTTGATGCACGGAAACTCAAAGGGAAGTGTAGGGTTGTTACAATTATATGTATAGTACCACTGGTGAAAATCCCATGTTGAATCAACCGGTTAAAATGCAGTGTTTGCGAAGGAGATAATGGCGGGACAAGCTGCTGACAGCATTAATCAAGGGCTTCGTGTTAAAGCAACGCTTAAACTTGGGTCAGAATTGTATGCCGTCAATTCATGCAATGGTAATACTGTTTCTGAGCAATTGGTTTCCATGAAAGAGCAGAGCATGAGCATTTTGAAGGAATTCATCACTAAACATAATGTTCCTCATGATGTCCCTGATGAACTAGCTGAAAGCTCTTCAGAGGATGAAGTCCTTGAGAAGCCTCAAGTTATAACGAAGAAATCAAAACTTACTTGATATTTCCTTATTTTCTTTGCTTGAAGTTGAAAACATGGAAGTTAAGTTTCTTTTGTATGATTCTCGTTATCCTAAACAAAATATTCCCAGTATTAAGAATAGGTAGTTATGCTGCTTGACATTTCCTAGTCATCGACAGCCTTCTCTTGCTTCTCTCCGAAACAATATGTAATGATAACTTTGGTTGCTTAGTACCACTAGAACGAATGCTGAATTTGCAATACAATTCTAGATCAAACACTTGAAGTGAAAAGAGCACGGCTGAGCAGAATATGACTTTCAATGTTCAACTAAGCAGGCAGACACCTATCTTGTGTGCCTCTTCCTCTGGCTGGTCGAGTTAGTAAGTTAAAGTTCTCTATGCTAAAGTATTGGATTCTTTCAACACGTTACTAGATCCAAAGTCTCTCCATAGCCTTCTGCTATTCTACACTCTGTGACACTTCTTTATATGTCGATGGCTCTAACCACTTTCTTCTCTGGCTTACAGAGTCCTGCAATGAATAAATCCACTATCAGTGCAAAACAAAGCCTAGGAACACTGATAAGGCCTGTCTTGTAGTTTTTAAGTGATCAAATCCTTACTTTTACAGGTGTGCTAGTCTAGCACAACCCAGCGGGAACAAATTATCCCTACTATTGGCTTCAAAAGAGATTGTGTAGATTTGATTAAAAACATGAACCGACAAAAATTCTCAACTGATAGTGCCTCCAAATAACTATTTGGTAGCCACCAAACTGGCCGTGCCAACAAATAGCCAGACAAGAAGAGAGCACCCAAACCTTGCGATGCCTTAAATAACAGCTGAAGGAGAAAAGACCCAGTAACGGGCAGCGCCTTCAAAAAGTTAGTTGAGGATCTAAAACCAAGATGTGCTATATAAATGCAGTTGTAGTCCCAAATTATCCAGGTTGTTAGGACAATGTTTTTCTTTTCAGATTCGAGAAAACCCTGTAAAGTGTATCTTATAAGTTTAGATAAGCAAGTAAAATCTTGGCTATTTCATATTCTTATAAGAAATACATGTTTTTATCTGAACTTTAATTTTATTATATAAATCTCAAATTTTTTATCATCATACTATATCCCTTGAGTACTTGTTAGGACAATAATGTGTACATAGAAAAACTTAAACAGTAAAAACACAAAAGACAACTAGCTAGCTAACATGCTAAAAGAGATCCCGGGGGATCAAAGGGCCAGAAATGTTTGGACAACAAAAGCAGCAGGACATGGAGAAGCAGGTCAAAACCACAACACACCAGTTAGGGCAGAGAAGAACAAAATAAAACCAGTACTTAATGAAAAGACTGATGCAGTAACATCATTTGATCAAATGAAGAAATCTAGTCAGACCAGGAAGTTTGCAGTAGGTACGAATGCTAATGTACAAGCTTTAACAAAAAAAAAAAAAAAAAATCGGTGCAAAGCATCAATTCTAATTCCATAACAGGTGCAATGCTCCTCTGTCAAGATTACCAGACACAGGTACTTGGTCTCAGCTTACACCAGCATCATGGAAATGAAACAACCTGCAAGAAAAAACCAAAAACTACCACACTCCATAGGCAGAGGATGGATGTTACTGGTTAGCAAAAAAAAAAAGCCACCACAGCCACTGTTTGGTGCTTCAACGAGTCACTCTCCAAGCACCATCATGCACAACAGGACCGGGTTCAAACCAAGGGAAAAACCAGCAGGGAAACCGTGACTCGCTCCAAGGAAATCCACGCACATGCAACAAGGGCTTATGAAAGATCAGCATAGGAAACCCAAAACTAGAGCTGAACCAAATAGCAAAGCAAACAGCCGAAGCATGACTCTCACAAGCAGCAAACATAGAAAATCAGGTAAAGCGTCGGAATCAAGAACTGAAATAAGAATAGGCCACAAACAAGACTCTAGGAGAACCAATTAGAAATTAAATAAACCAAACAGCAAATGATGAGCAGAAGCATTCACAATTAGAGAAAAATAAAGTTATAATGCAAAATCATCTACCTTTTCAAATCCTGTGCTAAACTATCACAAACTGCATTGCTTTCACGCATATTTTCTACTAGGTAAGGATAACAAGGAATTAAGCATGCATCAAATGTATTTTTCTAGCATTATGCAAGCACTGAGCTTCATGTAAATATGTTTCTTATGCATTATTTTTATTGAAAAACAGCGAAGCCAATGGAAGAAATGCAAATAAAGTAGTTTTATACGAGGGTCGATGCAGCAAAGAAGCAGCTTCAGGAGTTTATATTCGCTCTATGTGGCTGTGAATTAGAGGCCCAAGCATGTTCTTCGCTTGCTGTCATTTTGGAAAATGTGGAGTCTGGACGGTTGCATCATTTATTAACACCTGGTACTTTTAAGTTTGTTGTTCTTTTAATGTTTTCATAAGATTGTAGTTTGGCATCTTATTTTGTTATGTAATTCTAGGTAAAGATCTTCCAGACATCCTTCCAATTCTTAAACATTTTAAGAGTGCCTTTGATTGGGTAGAAGCCAACAATTCTGGACGTAAAATACCTCATGAAAGTGTCGATGTGGAGTATGATTCTGCTTGTGAAAGAGTTAAAGAGGTTGAATCTAGTTTGGCTAGACACCTGAAGGAACAACAGAAATTACTAGGGGACACATCAGTAAGATCCTGTCCTTAAATATTAGTCTTCTCTTAATTTGTTTCAGTAAATAACATGTTCTCTCATTACATGACCTATTTTACAGATTACTTATGTCACAGTTGGAAAAGAGGCATACCTGTTGGAAAAGAGGCATACCTGTTAGAAGTTCCTGAACATCTGCGTGGTAGTATTCCTCAAGATTATGAGCTGCGTTCATCCAAAAAGGTAAGTGATGCATATTGAGTGTTTGGTTTATGACACTTTCTTGAAAAAATAGCAAGTGTTTGGCCAATTAATGAATGTGACAGGTGTAACATCATCTAATTTGTTGATTCTATTGTTAAAAACATTTGAAAAGTCATCACCATCTGTCATGTGGTGATGCAAATACTGTTGTGGTAGAATGCATTAACAAACTTTGTGAACACATACGCAAACATAAGCAAATGAACTGTGTTTCTTGCTTTTTTAGCTTCCTTAAGAATGTGCTTGTCATTGTGCCAAGGAATTGCAACAAAAGAACTTGGAATTTAAGTCGTTTATACTGCTTTTGCCTAATTTTTATCATGGTCATGTGAAATATTTAAAGAAAAAAGCTTGTAAACATGGTTTATAATATAAATAGATAGGGTCAGTATCAGCTAGCATGCCCATAAAAGCTGGCAGGTTCCAAATATGTGATTAGGTGTCAGAGTGTGAATGAGAATGATGGTGTATGCATGGATAACAACGACCTGATTTTACATTTATTTATTACAAACTACAGTCTATGTTAACTGGGTTCCTTTTTTGTCGGACAAGGAAACATTGTGGCTGGGATCTTAACTTTGGCTATAGCAAATAGCTTACTGGTCTTAAGAAATTTGGTTTTCCTTGTCGCTATCTTGTTTGAATTCTTTTTCTACATGCTGCCTGGGACATGCAGGGCTTCTACAGGTATTGGACTCCAAGTATTAAGAAGTTCTTAGGAGAGCTCTCACAGGTTGAATGTGAAAAGGAGTCGGCCTTGAAGAGCATTTTGCAGAGGTTGATTGTGTGTTTTTGCAAGTACCATGACAAGTGGAGACAATTAGTTTCTGCAACTGCAGGTCTGTGCACCAACTTTATTCACGTAGAATAGGATCTTGATTTTCAGGTAGAATAGGATCTTGATTATGAATATGCATCTCTCTCTACACTACAGCATGTCTTTAGAAAGCTAACAAGAGCAAATTGTATTTCAAGTAGAATCCAAATTTTCTCTCTTTCAAAAACGCAGGCGCTCCCACTCCTTTGTGGGACGGAACTATTGTCATGGTATGATTTCAGTTCTTTTTTCTCGACTGAAACTGGTCACTCATGATGCAGGACTGGATGTTTTGATCAGTCTGGCAATTGCTAGTGACTTTTATGAAGGACCTGCATATTGTCCAACCATCGCAGGTTCATCATTGTCAGGTGAAGTGCCATGCCTTTCTGAAAAAAAATTAGGACACCCTGTTCTTAGGAGCGACTCTTTGGGAAAGGGTGCATTTGTCCCAAATGACATTAGTATTGGGGCTTCTGGTTGTGCCAGCTTTATCCTTCTCACTGGTCCTAACATGGGTGGAAAATCTACTCTTCTTCGGCAAGTTTGTTTGGCTGTGATTCTGGCCCAGGTAAATTATCTACCTTCAAAATATATGTTTTGCCTAGCAACCATCCACATTCTCCATCTTTGATTTTTTTTTCCACAGATTGGAGCCGATGTCCCTGCTGAAAGGTTTGAGTTGTCTCCTGTTGACCGCATCTTTGTCAGAATGGGTGCAAAAGATCATATTTTGGCAGGCTAGAGTACATTTTTGACGGAGCTTTCAGAAACTGCATTGATGCTGGTGAGTTTTCTTGGTAATTTTGAAGCATTTCATTTAAGAGAAAGGGTCATGGTCCCTGTGACTGTCCCAGTTTATAGATGTGGCCGAATCGATGATGTATTGGAGGATGTTCGTGATTGTGAGTAAAGTGCCAATGTTAATGCAGCTTTTCCAGTGAAATTGAAATAACATCATAGAAATTAAATTAAAAAAAATATGAAACTCATTTTTCAACTAGGTTAATATTAAATATCCAGATTGTTAGGAAATCAAGTAAAGCGCTGGAATCAAGAACTGAAACAAGAAAAGACAAAAAACAAGGCTCTATATGAACCAATTAGAAATTAAATAAACCAAACAACAAATGATGAGCAGAGGCATTCACGATTAAAGAAAATAAATCCATATTACAAAATCATCTACCCTTTCAACTCCCGTGCTAAACTATCACAAACTGCATTGCATTCACGGGGAGTATTGTTATCTTACTTAAAATATTCTTATTGAAAAATCTCAACCATTGGACTTATAAGGTCCATTCATTCAATGCATGAAATTTTTAGAACTGCTTTTGAAAAGGATATACGGTAAGGTTAGTATTACTTCTAGGATAAATTAGTACAAGGATTCATTTTACATGCATACATGCATTATTCTAATGAGTAGAAGCAGTACAAAATTACAATGTAGATACATTAAAGGGATTAAAGATGCATTTTTTTTTGTTGAATGTTTCTCATGGTCTCTTCCAGTTGTTCCATGTTGATTTTTTTATTCACTCTGCCATCTGTTCCAGCCTCCTCCATCTTCTTACCTTCACCTCCTGAGTTATCTGCTGAGAATGTTAAGATAGGGATGTGAACGGCATAAAACTTCTCCTCTTTTCTTATCTGTCTTGTTGCTTCACACCCATCCATTTTTGGCATCTGTTGAATACAAGATATTATAACATGGTTAACGTAAACTTCATCATAAGATAAAAATTAGTTGCATGAACCAAGTTTAAGTAGCATAGGTGCTCTCATAGTTGTTTGTTCTAAGAAAATAAAAGATAAGTAGGCATTTTTAGGAACGAAAACAATTGATAACAACATGAAAGGAATGAGATTCATATTCTCTACCTCGCAGTCCATTAATATGTAGTCATAAGGAAGCACAATAGAGTGGTTGTATTCCCTTTGGTTGTGCAGACCCATGCGAACTAGTTGAAAAGCTTCATCTCCATTTTCACAAACCTCAACAGTTGCACCATGCCCTTTAAGAATGTGCCTGGTCACTCTGCGGGATATTTCATTATCATCAGCGATTAAGAATTTCAACCCTCTTAAGGATTTGCCTTTGCTTAGATTACCACGCGCTTCTTGGATCTCTGATGATGATCTAACTGGAAGCTTTTTGGTTGGAGACTGTCTTGATTTAGATCTAACATGAGAATGATCTGGATCTTCTAATAAAAAATTCTTCCTGTTTTTTTCCTTTTTCAAGCTGCCTTCTGCTTGTGAATCCACTTGTTGAAATGAGTTTTCACAAGTTAATGGAATCTTTAACTTTGTTTTTTGTGAATGTGTTGATGAAGATGAACCAGGATCTTTAAGAGCATTTGTTGCTTGGATTGTACTTCCTCTTTTTGATCTCGAAATAAGTTCATGACCCCCGAATTCAGGTAGAAGTCGTATCACTTGATACAAGCGAGAACCATGAAACGGTTTCAACAAAATGTCATCCCTTGGGTCGATCAAATCCTGTTCAAAGCCTCTCAAATTGATACTTCGTGAAGTTGGTTTATCTAGCCAAACAACCTTGCAGCAACTGCTATGAAGGTCTCTTTTAAATTCAGCAACGACTCTACAAAGTTCCTGAAATGGTCCAGCACCAGCATCAATCACAAGCAATACAAAGCCTGGTGCACCTCTAAGATTACTACTTCTACTTGCGGATGGTTTTTGATCTATCCCGTCCATGGAACTTAAAGGCACATCCTTCAATGATCTAGAGTTAAAATGGTCACTTCTTGAGCCCAAATCAGATTTTCCTGAAGAACTATGTGGAGAAACATTTTGCCTGGCTTTTATTCTCTTTAGAGTAGAGTGAAGATGCTCCCATTCCTTAACAGATGATACTTTTATCCCCAAACCCTCTATGTATTTTTGTGAACTTCTTAGCCGCTCTCCATTTTGAATCAAGAGAACAACATGGGATCCTTCAGTCTTGGGACTAGAACTAAGTATAGACAGCCTAGGACTAGGGGTGCGAATCACTAGGCCTGGAGAAGAAGTTCGAATAGTCAGCTGCGAATAGTTTTGTTCATCATCGGGTATTAAATCCCCTTCAATCTCAACTTTAGCATTTTTGTTATATGTTGAAGGTATCTCGCATATGTCAAGGAAAACATTGAACTTGAAGCAAGTTCCCTTCTCGTCATTCTCTTTATTCACAATTCCTATTTCTCCTCCCATTAAACGCACCTGGTGAAAATTATTTAACAAAGGTTCATCAAAGTAATATAATCAAAAGTAAAAATAAGAAGGGAAAATGTTTTGAGGATTTAAACACGCTTTAGTGCTTAATGTGCTATAAAAAACTACTAGTTAATTTGTGAAAAAGTTGAGCACGTACCAAAGATTGAACGATGCCAAGTCCTAAGCCAGTTCCTCCTTGTCCAAGAGCTGTTTCTTTGACTTGAACAAAATTCTCAAACACTGATTTTTGCTTTTCTCTTGGAATTCCTTTACCTGTATCGTTCACCTCAAATACAAATTCCATAGAGCTTTGTTTTGGCTTCATTGCATTAAATTCTTTTTTGTTCTTGGAAAAAAAGCATGAAAAACATCTCCACAAACCATTCTGATTGGAAGCAATTATCTTGTTCTCTAAACTGGGTTTTTGAGTCCATGCTCGGACTGATACGTGTCCCTCAAATGTAAACTTAACAGCATTGCTAAGTAAATTGCACAGGACTTGCTTTAGTTTTCCCCTGTCGCCTTTCACTCGAGAATGTTTGAGAATGGAACCATCATAGGGGTCCAGCACCACATCTACACCCTTTTTCATGCCCACGGGATGATACAAATCAACTGCATCTTCAAGAAGCTTGGCTAAATCAAACTCTTCTTCTTGGAGTTGCATTTTGCCTGCTTCAATTTTGCTGGTATCAAGAATAGAATTCAACAAACCTGTACAGGTGAGCAATTTAAATTATTAAAGAGAAGATTCTATACAAAAAGCTATAATTCTAATATGCTAAAAAGATTAGTCCATGAGCCTACCTACAAGGTCATTTGTGCAACTATCCATTTGTCGTAAATTTGTGTCTAACTCGGAACCTGCACGCACTTCTGCATAGCATATCTCTATCAAACCAGTAATGCCTGCTAAAGCCGCTCGAATGTCATGGCTAGCACTAGCAAATGCAAGACTCTTATTCATACTCTTTCTTTCTGCTTGTTGTGTTGCTTCCATTTGCTTTATTAGTGCTGAACACAAGTGCATTTCCCTTTTTGCAGACCTAACCACTAGCAATATGAAACTAACAATCGAAACAAAAATCGCAGCAATCATTATTATGAATAGAATGAGGGATATTTTGGTGCTCCTGTTAACACTGCTTGTTAGTCCATTGTATGGGAAAGCCAATGCATATACCTGCAATCCAAATTCCCATAAATTGTATGAATTCAGAAAGCAGTTATCTATAAATTTCAAATTAATCTATGAGTCAATCTTGCATGAATGATTTTAAGTGACAACCACATATAAAAGGCTAGAATTTTATGAGCTCTAAATGAAAACACAGCAATATACCACAACAAAGTATGGAAAGTGACCAGAAAGTAACTCGTGAATTTCGGAGATTCATTGTTAAGATGCATACTTTCAAGAATGATACATACCGATTGCACTCCCACAATTTCAATCTGGGAGCAGGAAACTCTATACTTTGCTTCCCCAAGGTACACCACTGAATCTTCTAGCTTGCCATTATTCGGCATGCATGAAACATTTCCAACGTGATGAATTTGATCACCATTCAGTTTTGTCATGTATAAAGAAACTGAATTTTTCTTTATCACAGTTTGAGCGTTAGGCAGTCCTCCTACAAGAACTTTTCCGGATTGGGTAGCCAAGTACAAGCTCCCACCATAAAGTTCTACGTCGTTGAAGAAACTAGTTAATGCTTTAGCCGAAAACCCTAAAGAGAGGACTCCTTGTCCATTTAAGCTAGCTGTGTTAAGGAATAGAGGATCTTGAGTACTGTTCCATCCACTCTCAAATGAGGCATACCCTTGACTACTATTTAATGCTTGCTCAATCCAGCTTGCATTCGTTTTAATGAAAGGAAAGGATTTAACTGCATCTCCATATAATCTTCCTGTGTCTGAATCTACAGGTTGTCTATACCATGAAAAGTTCCTCACATTTGAAGCTGTAGAGTTGGAGTATATAGCAAACGTTTGGTTGCCTTCATAATAGTATGAGAAGAAAAGACCTCCCAATCCAATATATGAAATTTGCGATATGAAAGGAATTATTGAAAATGCTTGAAACAACAAAGGAGCTACCTGCAGACAAGAGGAGAACGAAAAAAACTCAACTGAGCCCTTTTAATAGTAAATTACCCCTCTTTATATAACATATTATTATTACAAATACTTGTAAGTTCTAAAGTATATTAATTGAGTATGGACACAAACCTTATTCTCAACATCATATGAAGAGAGTGTGCTTCCATTGATGGAGGAACTAATAACTCTTGCTAAATTTATTGCAGATGAGTTTATGGGGTGCAATAATTTAGCTATGTTCTCAATTTCAGACAACAATCCAGATTGAACAACATGGGCATTGAAATCCATCTGCTTCTTCATCTGTTTGATCATATTATACCACCATGGTACCACTACACAAGGGAGTAGCAAAACTCCAATTGCCTGCATTTAAGTTTGTACAAACCTTGAGTGCAATTCCGAATGCAGTGGAATAAATGAAAAGGAGCATAATAATTGTTAAAGAAATATTAGATGAAAACCCACTTTAAAATAGGTGATTATCATCGAAGAAATTAAATATTTTTATCAGTATATTTCAGGCACGCAGTGATATACAAGCTACATTGAAAATCAAACAAATAGTAAAATAATTTCGCATGCAAGTACGTAGTTTTATTAAAATGAACGAGTGCAATACCAGAATAATGAAGATGAGGACAGGCCTTGACGCTATCAATGAGCTGAGCTTCATTGGATTTTGTAGATGTAATTAAACAAGGTCGAAATGAACTCTCTGCATCCATGAAAACCATAGAGAATCAAATCAATAATATTGCCACTTAATTAGGTTAAATATCGTTATTCATAATTAGAAGAATATATATATTTTTCATAAATGACTGTATGTAAGAGGATTTAAATCATATGTGGTTGATATTCAAATATACATGGTAATTAACGTTTCTAGTTTCTACTTCCATTCTTATCAAATTATTTTGCTTCTAAATCCTCCTTTTCGATGAAGAAAAAAACAGGAAAAAAATTTCACTCTTAACTGTGTTGTAATGCTAAAATTGTTTTTTAAAGCATTTTTATTATTGAATATATTAAAATAAAAAAAAAATTATATTAATATATCAAAACGATATAAAAAATAAAAAAATAATTTAAAAAATATATATTTTTTAAACACAAAAATAAATATAATATTGACTAATGATACTGTGATGTTAATGAAGTATTTTTCTTTTTTTCCATCGACAGAGAAGGGGATTGTTCTTAGGGATTGTTCTTACTTATTTTAGAGGCTATTGCCCAGTATAAATCATGTTTTGTGATTTGAATATTGAATGAAATGATTTGGTGAGTAAATTGCTAGGTTTAATTTTCTTTAAAATTACTAATTAATATGACTGATTATATAAAGCAGAGTAAAACTTTGCAGGCACGAACTAATTAATGATCAAGTGGAACATTTTTGCAGCACGTTTGTACGTACTTGTGTGAGGATTCTCCCATACATTTTACTGTGAACGGCCACTTCAACAGTACAAGAACAGAAAATTCTTAATTATTTGGACACTTTAAATAGCTGACATGAAAAAGCCCGACAATTATTGAGAGAAAAATTTAAATCATCAGTCGTTACCTGAACCTCTGTTACTCTATGTATTCAATATTCTTTCGTGTATAAGTGTGTCTTTACGCATTATATTAATTTTTATTGTTATAGTTTGAAAAAATTAATAGGTTTAATAAAAGTTATAAATTATATTTTTTATAATTAATATTTTAAAATATACTTTTCAGTAAAATTTAAATTAAATTATAGCATGTATTTATTAGCTAAACAATAGTCGGTGCAAAAAATCAGTTGCATAAAATTATTTGCTATATATTGCCGTTAGCCAGAAAAAGAAAAGAAAAACCAACTTTTTAAAAAGAGCTCTAATTATCTTATGTACACTATTCATCTTATACCGAAATATATATATATATATATATCTATATATATATATATATATATATCTGTGTGTGTGTGTCCCCAAACACTTTTATTATAATTTGGCATGACAATTTACACACATATTGTACTGATAATTAAAGAAATTCAAGTGATTAATAACAAACATGCATGTTTTTAATTAAGACAAAAAACCGGTATATGCTTGAATATTTTTTTTTAATGTTTTCTTTCTCATTCTACTGCGATCCAAACAAAAGAAAAGGGATAACCATGTTTTTTTTTTTTTAACCCTATAGGAACAAATCTCTCTAGAAATAAACTTTGAGTATTCTTTTAGGAATAACTTCGAATATTATTCTTAAAAACTAATGAAAAAATCTTTGAATAATATTTTTCTCCATATAAATATAAATAAACATGGTTTTCTAAAGTAAGAAATCATCAATAAAAATAATTAGTTAAAGAAGAATATCTACATGCTTCAAATAGTGTTATAAGATATCAACTATCCTTGATTCTCAGTCTTCTACAAACATATATAGACGATTCAGTCGTTAAATATATTTATTTTTATATGATATGGAGGGACATAGAAGATCGACTACGTACTATCACACGCATGGATGAAAAAACACAAGGAAAAAAAACGTAGAGAAAGATATTAGTTTTGAGAGAGAAAAAGGAGAGAACCTGCTTTGACTGCGCCGCAAAAGAGGGGATAAAAACGGACACAAAGTTCTATGCCTAACTCTAACTCTGTCTCAATGTCTTCCTCGTTTGAAGCAGAAGACCTCACTCTCTGTCTGCGCTTTTTCTTCTTCTTCTAAATATGTTGTTTTAGCTCTTTAAGGTAGGAACATGTCTATCAAGGAAGATTGGGCACTTATGTAGAGAAATATTGAGCAATATTTGGTGTATATTGAAAGTTGAAATACTCTTCTAGGTTTTTTTTGTCCATATATTTATAAGGAAAAGTTTGTTTTTCAAAAAAGGAAAATACTGGGTAAGTAATGGGAATTTTGATAATTTTGGCCGCCAAGGACTGATCATTCAGTCAAGCAACTGATTGAAATAAACAGATTTAAGCTATATATGGCAAGGTAATTATCGTTCTGTTGACAAATTTTAGGATTGAAGCATCACGTTGGCTCCATGCAACAACCATCTCTGCATGAATTGATTTGAAAAAAACGAAATATATATACACACACACAAAATAATTAACTTGTAATTTATTTTTGTTTTTTCTAGTTCATGGGAGAACTATATACAAGCTCCAGGGGAATTGATTAAAATAATTAACTTATAATTTATTTTTGTTTTTTCTAGTCCATGGGAGAACTATATACAAGCTCCAGGGGTTACTTTCTGCAATACTAGGGGTACTGACCCCATTAATTTCTTTTCCTTTTGTTTTCCTTTCTCGGCACTATTGATTTCTCTATATATAGTTAAGACATTTAATTAAGGAGAATGAGAGAATCAAGCAGTATTGCTACCAGCATGGCAGCAAATTGTATGGAGTAAAAAATTTTTAAAAAAGAAAATTTTAAAAGCACATTGTATTGCTTAAAATCTTTGGAGATCTTGGTGTATTTAGAAAATCAGAAAACAAGCCCTTCTTGGCCTGAAAGAAATTAATATGAGAAGGCTTAAAAAATATTGGAGGGGGGTGGGGGGTGCAGGTTTATAGACAAAGTTGATGATGTATTTTTATGTGCAAAAAAATATAATTCTATAATTCTGTAACAAAGCTAAATTCATATCAATTAAAAAGTATACTGATGGCCTAAATTCAATTTACTTAAGACCACACTAAAATATTATATTTTAAAAAAAAACCCGATACCTCTTTTCTATTTTTCGTACAACTTTACTTTTGAAAAGATAATTTTTTTAGTAAAAAACAAAAAAATTATTAAATATAATCATTAATTTATCATGTCTTTAAATTAACGGTAAGTTCGTTAATCCAAGTTTGGAGTCACGAATGAACTTATTATTATATATATCTTATTATTCTATCTTTAGATTAACGGTAAGTTCGTTAATCCTAAAAGTTTAAAGTGATCGGATAAACTTATTATTATTATTATTATTATATATATTATTTTATTAATTTCTCCTCGTGTTATCATGAAAATAAATTATTTGTTTTAGTAATTTCGTTAATGCTAAGAGTTTGGAGTGATCGATTGAGCTCCTTATTATACATATTTTATTATTCTATCAATTTATATCATGTGTTATCATGATAATAAATAATTTGTTTTAGTAAGTTCGTTAATCTTAAAAGTTCGGAGTGATCGATTCAACTCGTTATTATACATATCTTAGTATTCTATAAGTTTATATCATATGTTGTCATGAAAATAAATTATTTGTTTTGGTATATACTGCATCAAGAGAAATAGTTATTTTTTTAAATAATAATTTTTTGATGATATAGATGCATGTTGTAATGGATAATAACTCATAAGTTATCAAATAAATATTTTTTTTAAATCAGAAAGCTAAATATTATTTTTTTAATTAACATGATAGATTAGATTAGCATATCTTAACTAAATTTCAATTATTTATTTATAAGAAAGAGACAAAGTTGATAATGTATTTTTGTGTGCAGAAAAATATAATTCTGTAATAAAGCTAAATTTATATCAATTAAAAAGTATACTGATGGCCTAAATTCAATTTACTTAGGACCATACTAAAATATTATATTTAAAAAAAAAACCTGATATCTCTTTTCTATTTTTCGTACAACTTTACTTGTGAAAAGATAATTTTTTGAGTAAAAAATAAAAAATTATTAAATATAATCATTAATTTATCGTGTCTTTAAATTAACGGTAATTTCGTTAATCCTAAAAGTTTGGAGTCACGAATGAATTCATTATTATATATATCTTATTATTCTATTTTTAGATTAACGATAAGTTAACTTCCTAAAAGTTCAAAGTGATTGGATAAATTTATTATTATTATTATTATTATTATTATTATTATTATTATTATTATTATTATTATTATTATATTTTATCAATTTCTCCCCCTCTTATTATGAAAATAAATTATTTATTTTAGTAAGTTTGATAATGCTAAAAGTTTGGAGTGATCGATTGAGCTCCTTATTATACATATTTTATTATTCTATCAATTTATATCATGTGTTATCATGATAATAAATAATTTGTTTTAGTAAGTTCGTTAATCTTAAAAGTTCGGAGTGATCGATTCAACTCGTTATTATACATATCTTAGTATTCTATAAGTTTATATCATATGTTGTCATGAAAATAAATTATTTGTTTTGGTATATACTGCATCAAGAGAAATAGTTATTTTTTTAAATAATAATTTTTTGATGATATAGATGCATGTTGTAATGGATAATAACTCATAAGT